TAGAATTTTTAATGTAATAATAAATTGTGTTTTTTTTTCTGTCATTTGGAAAGAAATTATTAAACTATAAATTAGCAAGATGGAAATTTTAAAGACATATTATTGCATCAATGATGATTCAAATTTGGAACGAATTATTCATCAAGGTTGGGCCAAATGGTCTGAATGGGGTCCGTGCTCTAATTTGGTTCGTTTAAATTTTCCTTATTTCCTTTGTTTGTTGATCTTTATATTAGTAATTTGCTTTGAACTGTGTCTTTTTCGTTTTTCTGGTTAAAATAAAATTTCATTTAATTTACAAGGGTATTTTATAAAATAATTTCGATGGACGTAATTAATAAAGTTGAGTTCCGTGATTTTTAACAAATATAAAAATTTAATTAATAAACTTATATTTTATGATTTCAGCAAACATAAGAATTTAATTAATTGAAGTTGTATTTCATGATTTTCAAGAATTACAAAAATTTTTTCGTTTCTTTAGTGCGGTGATGGTATATCAATTCAATTAAGGCGTTGTTTAGACGTGCGATGTGTAGGACCAAATCGTCGTGAACGTGTTTGTAATGTTCAAGTTTGTTAATTTTTTCTTTTCTCTTTCTTATTGTTAGGAAAAAAAACAAGTATATGTTCAAAATATTAGCTTTAATTTTTTTTTTAAATTTAACTTTCTCAAATATAAATTAGAAAAACAAAAAAAGCAGCTGACATTTATTTAATGATTAATATAATATTTCATTTGTTAGAAATTATATTAATTAGGTCGTAATTCATTTAATTTCATTAAAATCATCAATAAAATTTGATAAAGATAAATTTATATGAAATTGTATCAATATTTAAAGTTAATTATTTCAGCAATGTAACAATATTTCAATTCATACAAAAGAAACGCACTGCTCAAAATTGAATAGTTTGCCATATGATAATAATAATAATAATAATAATAATAATAGTGGTTCTAAATTGCTGCCAGAAAAATGGATTCCTTTAGAAAGCACTCATCAGGTAAGTAAGCAAATAAACATTCAAATATTTTAAATTTCAATATTACACGTTAAATTCAAAAAAAAAAAAACAAAAATACGAGTAATTTTTTTCTTTGTGATTTCAATAATTAATTTTGAAATTTTTCGTTTCTATCAAAGTTTGATTTTAACTTTTTAAAATTTAAACTTTTATTTCTGTTAAAGTGTATTGTGGTATGCCGTTCCTTAAAAACCGGTAAAGAGCAGGAATTAGAAAAGATGGCTGATGGTACAGAATGTTTTATTGAAGGATATAATAAATCTGTCTGTGTGAATGGCATTTGTCAGGTTACATTTTTTCTTTCATCAATTTTTAGAAAACAAAATTTAACAATTATAATTTAACTGTTATTGAAAATATCTGATATCATTAAATAATGAACCAAAAACATTTTTTTTTTTGCTTGACTTAATTTTTTGTTTTTAAATCAAACTTTTTTTTTTGTTTTTTTTTTTTTTTAAAGTACGTTGGTTGTGATGGTATTATACAATCAAATGCTCGTTATGATCCATGTGGAATATGCGGTGGTACAGGTGAAAGTTGTAAGCATACAATATTTCAATGGAAGGATACCAAACAATTTTCACCTTGCGATATGAGTTGTGGACCAAACGGTAATTTGATTTTAGTT